CAGGACCTGCCTGACATCCCCCTGCCTCCTCCTCCTCCTCCTCTGCCCCCCCCGGGCCTGCTGACCTAGTCCTCCAGCCAGGACTGAAAGGGGCTTGGGCCCACCAACAGCTTTGGGCATCTGTTCTTCTGCACAAATAATATGTGTTAGCCATAAGCCAGGTTCAGTTTCCATATTGTTATGCCTTCAACAGCAAGGGCTGAAGACTCTTCCCGTGCCCTGGATTCCGTTGCTACTCTCGTTTTTGTACAGCTGGGTGCTGGCTGAGTCTCCTTAAAGAACTTTATTTGCAATAGCTGAAGAACAGGAAGAAAAGAACAGCAGTCTCCCCTCTGTCTGCAAAAAAACAGCTGAGCAGAAATCAAAATGCCAATGGAATAAAAATATGACTGTCATGAAACACTTTGCTGATGGACAAAAGCTTCAACATTCCAAGGTGTATTCCATGAACAAGAGAACACGTGGATCCCTGTGTGCCATGCCCATATCCACCGCTGCCTTCAGGCATGGGGTTGGCAAATCTCCTTCAGACAAACACAATGAGAGTTCCTAAATTTTTCATAGGAACCTGGAAAGCACATAAAAGCCCAGAAGGATCCAAATCTTGAAACAATTCATCTTGGTGCTCCTTTCATGCCTACACCAGCTCAGGACTCAAATTCCAACAGCCACTTCAGCCCTCAGATCGCAGAAGCCCTGTCAGGCATCTACCAGGCTGGGCTGCATCCAAACTGCTCTTTCTTCTGCTCTTTCTCTTGAACCTCTACCCCTGTGAAAGGAGTTTGAGGTTTGCTGAGCTCAAGAGTCCCATCAAGCAGTGAACAGGACACAGAGTCCCCACTCAATGGCATAACTGAAACCATCAGCTCCTCACTCACAGCTCCTCTCAGGCAAAGGCTCAGGGCTGTCAATCCTCAGCAGTGCCCAAAACCCTCAGAATAACAAGGAGCAGGGGACACCCACACTCTTGGTGTCACCTTCCTCCACACAGTGCCCTGCCCAGCATGGCATTTTGGGAGACTGGGCACTAAGATGTCCATCTTGCCCATTAGGAAGCTGCTTCTGATTTTCCAGGAATTTCAGGTTCTAGATGTTATGGGAACTAACACAAAATGCATCTCAAAACCAGGCCTGAAGCCTTCATCACCTTCCCTGCATCTGCTCTTTACAGTCACTGCATCTCCATTCCTTTGCCTGTACACACTAGCTTACTAATCTCTGGTATTCAGGGATATCCAGGAGAAAAAGTGCTCTAAAAAGGCAAAACTTAAATCATACGTGTTTATCCTGAGAACCTATAATCTAATTTACAGCAGGAATTAAGGTGGCATCAATATTGTAGAAAGAAAACACTTTTCTGAAGTAATTTAGGTACATGCTCTTAGGAGGAGTCAAACCTTGTAGCAGAGGCTCAGATCACATCTGCTCCTTACAGCCTGCAGAGGAACTTCTGCCAAAATCATCAGCTAGAGAAACAGAAAGCCAGGAGTAAAATTGACTGAAGCACTACAAGCCAAATTCTGGTCCCACTTATCCTATTGTGAATTTCCAATTTTCCCCCTCCATTTACTCTGAAATTTGTTCATAAAAAAGAAATATTTACCCCATGAGCACCAATAAATACACTTGAAAGCAGTAGATTTCTCTTTTCCAATTACTGTAGGAGAGCCTTTAAACTGTTCCAGATGCTGAATGGCTAAGAAATGTCAAACGCAACACCTGGTTACTGAGAACTGCAGCTGTTTCCTCTGCAGACTACATAACACATCATTTCTTCCCTTAAATAGTTCATGCCAAGACAAAGACCACAGTCTAAGGTAGTATCAATCAGAATAAAACCCAAGTTGCAGTTAGGTCAGGCCTTTTTTTTACCCCTCTGCTTTCCCATCGTCTCCACAGCAAGAAGGGCTCCAGAGACTAGTTCTTGTCTGGTTTTCACAAAGATATTTTCCTTATTTTAGGAGCACCTGAGACTCTTTCCTATAGCCACTCAATATGCTCTTCATGTTCCTAAGCACGTGGAACACCTTTCCAGCACTGCTCAGCAGTAGCTCCACACTCCCTGGGTGCACAGCTGCAATCCTGCCCGTGCAGGCAGTAAATGAAGCCACGCTGGAGGCAGGGACAGGACTCCAGGGCACGTTGGGATGCTCAGTTCCATTCTCCCTTCTTTGTCTCGCTGTACACACAGAGCTGTCCCGGGACACCGGACCAGGCAAACAAAAAGACAACACCCAGCATTTCTGGAGCTGGGAGTAACTTGGGGAACATGCCAGGAGCAACACTGCACACTGATGTTATTGTAACTGCGCTGAAGGTCCTCGCCAGAGCAACTGTGTCAGAGCCAACAGTTTTTAAAGGATTGCTAACATCACAGTATGACTTTGTGGGAAAAGGTTCAGAAAACAAATTTTAGGTACTTAGCACTAGATTTTCACTTTTCTTCTTAACAGTAGGACAGAGTCTGGAAGGAATAAAATACATTTTTTACTATAACAAAGTGATCTTTATGGCAAGATGAGCATCTTCCACAACCCCACAGTTCTGGCTGCCTCTGTGCACTGACCAGCTTGCCACACAAATGAGACCAGACTACTGATATCCTGGAATGTCAGACACAAATGCAAGCTGAGCTGATCCTCAGTCCTGAGACACCTATGAACCATGGAATAAAATATAAGTGTGGTTAACTTCAGCTCAAGCCTATTTCTATAAATGTAGTTTATATCTCTTAACTAACCCCACGGCTACCTAATACAATTTAAAGCATTATTCCATCAGTGAGTTGCCAAACAAGCTAAAGTCTGAGCATGGCACCTTTTAGCCTCTTACAACAAAAATATCCAGTTAAATAATTTTGAAAGCAGCATTTTAATGTACTTCTGATTTCCAACTATTCCCACAGCACTGGAGAAAGAGTCATTCCACTCAGATCCTGCTTCCCCATCAGCTCGCTACAACTGGGACACCTTCAAGGCAGTTTCATGCTCAAGGGCACCTCCAGAACTGGGAACAACTTAGTAAGAAAAAGTCCTTGATTCCTTGATAAAATGCCCCCATGTCTCTAAGCATGTTTAGGGAGTAAGTCAAGGAACGGGCTAATCTTGTCTTGGTAGGGAGTAAAATCTTAGTCTTGCTATAGTTGGGAGTAAAACAAGAGTAATTTTAATTACACTGTGACAGGTTCTTGTGTAGCTCTGGTATCAGAAGCGTGGACAAGAAGGTAAGGTGTGGGGCAATTCACAGCTTAGTTGTAAAGAAAAGCAGGCCAAGGGAAAGAAAAGTTTCCTGTTACCTTTTACCAAACAGCCCCCTTGTCACAGAGGGGCTGGAGTGACAGAGTTTTCTCCAGTCCAATTGCTTTCACACTTGTCTTCTGTTTAAAAGTCTTGGGACAGGACTTGCTTTTTAAGTACACATGATGTGTGACCCAATTGCCCACAGTCAGAGCTTTTCCTGAAAAATCAAACAAAATCCAAGAACCAAAGGTTTGGGGCATTTTGCTGGTATCAAGAATCTGCCTTTCCTCAGAGATGAAACTTTGGTGAAGGTGAACGGATCTCATTTTGACATTCTCATGTCCCTGTGGCAGTGATAACACAGAAAGCCAAAGATTTGTTGTGCCATTATGCCCTTTCCTTGTTCAAACCAGAAGCCCTTCAGATGGACAACAAGGAATTCAACAGAGCCCCAAATGTTCCCCAGTATTCCCAACAATGCTGCTCTTCTGTCCAGAGACACCACCAAGACACCCAACTGGAAGCCACAGATGCTAAGCACAATTTACACTGACAGGTTTACAGCCTGTAGAGATTCTGGCAGCTTTGAAATCAATTAGGTCCACTTGGTAAATATTTTTACAATGAAACTAGCCGGCCCAAAATAAGTTTAGATTGTTGCATTGCCTAAACTCTGGGCCCTTGATGCTTTAGCTGGTGTTTGGGGTCAGTGGTTTGATGTGAGTGGGTTTCCACAGTATCTGCTAGAAACATTCAAGGTTTATGTTTTTGTCTTTCCTGTCTCTCTTTGTTGCCTCATTACTGGGACATTTTGATGTGAAGGCAATTTCTTGCATTAAAAACAATACCAGACTATGAAAAATTGAAGTTCTACAGGTAAACATGGTGATGAGAGTGAATAATGAATATATATGCATCCAATCACTCCTCAGGTGGATCAAAAATATAAGTTACAAGTTATGTATCACTTCAAACAGGCGGAAAAAAACCCACTTACTCATCTCTATCACAGAAGACTTACAAAACATATACCAATATCGTAAAGTCAGCACGTCTACAGAGATGAGGAAGCCTGAGTGAACAGAAAGACGACTGTCTTTTAAGCACGTTAGTTTTGCTAATTTGGTGGAACCACTCAGCTACTTGTCAGACTGGATTCTGCCATCCTATCGCTTTGCTCGCGCTGAAGAGGAACCAGAGATACATTAGTTATCAAGTTAGAAACAAACTTGGAACTCAGGCTCGGCTGGAATCCTTTTCCCGACAGACAAATGGAGCAGAGTCGCACCTGCCCGCTCCGCCTGAAGCCCTTTTCCTGACAGACAAAGCCGGACGCGGCTCCCGCTGAGGGGCGAGACCGGAGCTCCGCCTGGGGAACAGCCCAGCCCCTCTCCCGTCCCGCCCCGCCGCGGGCGCGGAGCTGTGCGGGGCCGAGCAGAGCTATGCGGGGCCGAGCGGAGCTGTGCGGGGTCGGGCAGGGCTGGACGGGGCCGAGCAGAGCTGTGCGGGGCCGAGCAGAGCTGTGCGGGGCCGGGCAGGCTGGGCGGGCCGGGCAGGGCTGGGCAGGCCGGGCAGGGCCGGGCGGGGCTAAACGGGACTGTGTGGGGCGGGCAGGGCCGGGCGGAGCTGTGCGGGGCCGGGCGGAGCTGAGAGGGGCCGGGCGGGGTTGTGCGGGGCCGGGCGGGGCTGAGAGGGGCCGGGCGGGGCTGGCTCGGCCGGGCGGGGCTGGCTCGGCCGGGCTCGGGATGCTCGGGGAGCGCGATGGAGCCGGCTGAGGGCTGGGACCCGTACGGGCGGCCGGCCCGGCGCACGCAGTGGCTGGTGAGCGCCCTCGCCTACCACTACGGGCTGGACCGCGGCGTGGAGAACGAGATCGTGGTGCTGGCCACCGGGCTGGACCAGTACCTGCAGGAGATCTTCCACCACCTGGACTGCGCCGGGGCCGGCCGCATCCCCGGCGAGGATTTCCGCACGCTGTGCCAGGTGCTGGGGCTGGAGGAGGCGGCGGAGCCCGAGGAGTGCGCGGGGCTGTGGGACGGGCTGGCGGCCGGGCTCACCTTCCGGCAGTTCCACGCGCGGCTCTGCGGGCTCTTCAGCACCCGTGCGGGCGGGGCCGAGCCGCGCCTGCCGCTCGGCCGGGACAGCGAGCACATCGAGACCCAGATCCGGCTGCGCAGCCCCCGCCGCCGCCGCCGCGGGCACCCCCCGGCCGGGCGGGCGGCTCTGGAGCGGCGGCCGGCGGGGCCCTGCTCCCCCGAGTGCTACGAGGAGATCGTGGCGCTGGAGCAGGCCGAGGACCGCATCGCCAAGCTGGAGGAGGAGAACGGCAGCCTGCGGGAGCTGGTGGAGGACATGCGGGCCGCCCTGCAGAGCAGCGATGCGCGCTGCCTGGCGCTGCAGGTGAGTGCGGGGCTCTCCCGCTCCCCTCTGCGGCTGTCAGGAAAGGGTTTCGGGGTAAGCTCCGTTTGTCCGTCAGGGAAAGGATTCCAGCCGAGCCTGAGCTCCAAGTGTGTTTCTGACTTCATAACTAACTTACCTCTGGTTCCTCTTTAACGCAAGTGAAAAGACAGCACCGCAGAATCCAGTCTGACGAGTAACACTGGGGAACAAGTGACTGGTTCAGTCTATTAAGAAAGATGCTGCTCTTGTAAATCCAGTGTTGATAAGCCCTGTGCCCCCAGCGTGATGGATAAAACGAGTTATGGCATAGACGGGGGTTGCTCTTTCATCCTCGGCATTAACTTTTTAGCAAAGTTTGGTTACACGGAGGCTTTAAGGACAAATGCTGCGTTTTCACCAGTGTGACATTATATGTGGTGAAGGATAGGCTGAAAAGCACCCTGCTGAAAGTGTAGGGGACTTCAAGTGTGTAATACCACTGTTCAAGTGCACATGCACAGGCAGTTATATACTGGTTATGCATCATTACAGGGCTCTTTCCTAAAGTCAGAAAGAACTTTTGGGTTCTTACCTGTACAAGCACATGCAGTGTCTCAATCATAAATGCCTCGGAAACATTAGAAGTGTGTTTTGTTCAGAGTGTGGTCATGGGAGTTCAGTGCTGGAGCCAGTTCTGCAGACAGGCTGATGAATAGTCTCTAGCTCCTCTGCAGAGCCCCATTAATTCTGGGGCTGGTTCCTGGTGGTTCTGCTGTACTGGCCATACATACTTAGCAGCAGTTAAATTACTCTGGCATGAAATAGCGTGGAACAGGCAGAGCAGTGAAGGGCAGATTTCCCTGGTTGTTCTGGTGGGTCTGATCAGGTCAGATTTCACACTAACACAGCACTCACAGAACTCTGCTCCACATGTGACACTGCCATTTCCATGAGCTGGCTGTGCCTCCTCACTGTGTCCAGCGTGGCAGGTCAAAGCCACTTCTACATTTTCATCTGAAAGGGGAAAGGAAATGAGAAGCAAACACGAAGTCAGCAGTCAGAGAACCCAGAAAGAATCAGAAGGCCGTAGATGAGAGCTTGAGAACTCCCCCAGCTGCTCCCTGCTTGCTTCTACTGAACACTTCGACTTAATTGCAGATTTTTTTTTCAGAACTCTACTTGCCTTCTGAGGACAGACCATAGTAATGGCATTAAAGCTATACAGACACTTGTGCAATAACCTAATAACAAATAGTTTGAAAATTAAATTTATAGATACGTATTAAAAAATACTTTCCAGAGATTTTCTTGTCTCTCTGTTTCAAAGGTAAGTAGCTTATTAGTTGCTGATCAGCTATATGTGATTGAAAAACCCCAAAAACTACAATCCCAAGATTTTAAGTCTTGATAAAATGTCAGCTGCTTTAGGACACATTAATTTCTCCTGCTCTCTGCTCCTGGTGGTTACAGGTGGGGCTGCGGAAGAGCCATGCCAACCACAGGGAAGAGGGGACCTGTTCCATCGGGAGTAAGGGACCATTCACACAGAACCACTCCCAGAGCAAGTGCCTGCAAAGCGTCCTGAAGGAAATGGAGCTCATCCGGAGCTCCAGGGATGGGCAAATCGAAGAAGCAATCAGGTTCAACCAGGAGCTGGAGAGGGAGCTGAAGAGCTCCCAGGAAGCCCTGGCCAGCCTGGAGGACTGCAACCGTAACCTGAAGAGGGAGCAGGCAGAAATGAGGAGGAAGGTGGAGGAGGCGAGACACGCCGTCCTGAACAGCCTTGGCAAGGTGAGGGAGCTGGAGGTGAAAGCCAACGAGGTGCCACGTCTGCAAACACACATCCAGCAGCTGGAATCGGAACTGCAGCACTACAGGTGAGTCTGAGTCCATCAAAAGTGCCTGTAAAGTCACAAAGTTTGAAAAATCACTGTTTGGGGCTTATTAAATGTCTCCAAGTACATCTTGTAAAATCTAGCCAGAGGGAAATGAGAAGCTGCTTATCCATCTTCTTGGTAGGGATCCGTAAGAGAGCTGGGAGCGTTCAGTGGGAGGGAGGCCAAAGTAAGGGCGCTGATCTGCAGAGAGCTGAAGTTACTCCTCAAACACACAGCAACAGGACTCAGTAATGTCTCAAAAGGACATCATAATGCTTCAAGAAAGCCCAAAACGAATCGCTGACACTCCTTCAGAAGACATTTCCAACACACTTCTTTTTTTTAAAGTATTTCCTGCTCGTTAGGTCACATCCAAAGCCAGCTGTGAGCAGATGGCTGACACTCCATGTCCCGGGAAAGCCCAGGAAAAACTTGTCATAGGAACTGGGGGAAAGCACACAGGGCCAACTTTTGGCCAGTGCTTTTAAACTGCTGTGTCTTCACTGCTACTTCACTGACAGAATAGGTAATACTCCAGAAGAGAGAAACTGAAACTTTCCTAAATCCACAAAATAACATAGTGGGAATCTCAAACAAAAAATACGTTATCCAACTAAATCCCACTTTTGTGATAACATAAATAAACATTTCCAAAAGTCAGAAAGTTGGTCATGAATTTAATAGTTCACTGGTTTTGTTGCTTTTTATCTCAGACAAAACTTCACTCATTGAGGTTAGGCTTTTCTGTTTCAAATTGACCTATGGATCAACATCTAATTTATATTTTCACTGACCCACAGCAAAGCCAATATTTATATGTATTTTTACCAACTGTACTAAAGTTAGTATTTTAATACATCGTGTATTCTGAACTCTCAAACTTACACTTCCTCTGTTTGCTTATAAGAAGAATTCATAGTGAGTTATTTGTGGCTTTGTAGCTATTGTACTGTTTTATGAAGTGAGGAAATTCTAAAAATAAGCATTTTATCCAGTGTCTTTCTGTAAGCATTGTGTATGTTAATACCTGTGTGGTTGCAGAAGATAAAAGCATTTATTTAAACATCTCTAGGATTTAAAAAAACACTGTGAGAGCACGTAATGTCCAAGATGACTGTCAGGGATATCTGGATAAATGAGAAAACTCTTAGTGTTAGGAGGGACCACACTGCTTGTCTAGTCCCGTGTTCTCCCTGGCATGAGCACCAAACACTTCTTGTCCTGCAGATTTGCTTTTCCCAAGTATGATGAAGGATAAAAGAATCCCCTTTAAACAGGTAGTGACGAATGAGTTGAAGGCAAAAAGGAATGTCAGCTGGGCCTTGCAGAGCAGGAACTTCATGGGTTACATCAACACATGAACCGTGAGTTTAAAAATGCAAATTACATGTTGCTTGTCAGATAACCTTCATTTGTAATATTTATTTTTAAATTGCATGCTAATTTAAAGGGAGTGTAAAGCTCAGGAATGGTGCTGGACTGACCACTGGGCAACTACACCCCTTCTTTAATCCCATAGTACATTGACCAGGCCAGTTTCCACCCTTTCAGATTCTCTGCTGGCCATAAAGCACTTCCATCTCCCCATCCATGTAATACAGCTCTTGGATCAAGCAGTTTCAGAGGCACTTGCTGAGGACTGTGATTGGCATGCCTGTGGTCACATTCCATCGTCAGTGGAATGCCCCCATTCCACACGTTCCACAGGGCAGCACAGAGGTGCCCAAAGTGGCAGGAGGTGTTTCAGTTGGGCAGTGCAGAGCTCTGTGTTGCTGTGGGGAAGCAGTTTGACACCAGCTGTCTCTGCTCCACACAGCTGAGGTGCTGCTGAGGGGAAGCTGCAGAGTTGGGCGAGGTGTGGAGATGGAGGGAGAGCTGCTGTGCCCCCTGTCCTGTGTCAGTGCAGCGTTACCCAGGCCGGTCTGTGCTGAGGTACAGACTCACTCCAGTGAGCAGCTGTCTCCACTGCCAGGTGCCACACAGAGTTTGGGAGCAAGATCTAGGCTTGGCAAGAACTAGTGCTGGGAGGGAGCAGTGGAGGGAAATGGGTGGGGATTTGAGTATCCTGCAGAGAGCATTGAAGATTGCAGGGCTGTCTCCTGAGAATTCACCTTAACTGGCTTGGTCTGCCACAGGTTTACTCCAGCTAAAGGCTCATTCCTTCCAGAGAGGATCATATTTGAGTCCAGTCTCTGAGCTTTACATGCTGCTCCTATTTATAGTTCCATATTTATAAAGGAAATTCAGTGTCTGAATACAAAAGGGTTTAGAAAGTGGGGCAAGTCCCACTTTTATGCAGTGCTGCCCATGGAGTTATTCTCATTTTGTACCGGGGCACTTGATTTCATTTTCCCAGGTACAGTTCTTTTCAGCTGTTGTTACTGAAGCTCGGCTGTTCCATTTATGGATTACTTTTCCAGTTTCTCAGGATGCTACTGGGACTAACCTCCAAACTGTTCATTCCCTCCCAGCTTGGAGGTCGTTGCACACTTGTAATTCCTCTTTCAAAAGCTGGAAGCCCAAATGAACACACTGGTGAGGTCCCTTCCCTTGATAAGACTCTATCTGAGGACAAATCATTACCAGCTATTCCCTAAACTCCCTTTTTTTCCCCACTAAGTTTTGCTCCAGCTCAAGGTGACACCATCCATGTATTCTAATATAGTCCTATGACTTATAAGTACTGTTTATGGGAATGCCACATGTAATAATGTTACTACAATTGAAATGTCACATCTCCTCCTTCTTTTTATCCATTCAGCCATTTTCCCTGTCAGAAAAGGAAATTAGATTGGTGTGACATGAATTGTTCTTGTCAAATATAAGTTGGCTCTGTTTTCTATACTACATTGTAGGTGGCTTAAAAACTGATCACTTAATAAAGTTTATGGATTCTTTTTTTCTTTAATAGCATTGGAGAGAATAAAAGAATTTAACAAACTTTTTTTTTTTGATCCCAGTGTAACAAATAAAAAGAAAGGTCATTTAGAATTGAAATACACTTCATAATAGAGACTTCACAGAGGGTTTATGTTGCTGCATTAATCAGCAGCAGAGTAATTACATAGGTCAGTGGAAAGGGTCATAAAATACCAAAAATGCTTCCCATATGCATGGTCTGTCTCCCAAATTACTTAATTATCCATCAGCATTTATATGTGTTAATGAGTAGGAATCCTTTATGCATGGAATGCAGAGGCTTGTTTCCTCCCCTCATATTCTTCTATAAATATGAAGATCGAGGCCTCTGGCATAATCTTCTCCATTTATTTATTTCATCAGTGTTAAAATTTTCTAAAAACTTGTGCTTTGGGTTATCTTACATTGGAAATAGTTCCATTTTTCTTTTCTTTCAGGAGACAGTGTCCTGATCTTTTCAATAATTTCTCAGGTTGTCATTTACTCTGCAAAATGTAACAGGATGGACCAAATCAATAATCCAAGAACAGGGGAGGAATATGGAAATATTCCTGACTGGTACAGAATCAGCTCCATTAAGTGAAGAAGGAAAAGCCCTAGGAAGGAAACATTAATGCACAAAAGAAGGTGTCTATAGCAGGTTATTTCCAGTTGGAATGACAATGCATGTTCCATACTTAGGCATTCTAGAACTGTTCTATTTTAAAAATTAGACATTAAATAAAAAAAATATGGACATTTTCTGCTTGACTATTGTCATCAATACCAACTGTTTGCTGGTTGTGAGGTGAAAGGTGGCAAGTTGTTTCAGATGGCCCCAAAGTTGAATGGAGGCAGTGGGTGCTCATGTTCACCACACAAAAGCCTGGACAGACCTGCAGATGATAAATATGTCCTTGGCCAAGAGCAGTGGCAGGCAGGGAGCATGCACTGATGGCAGCAGGAATGAGGACAGTCAGGGAACTGAGCTCGTGGAGAGTAAAATGAAATGGTCCTTTACAGAACCTCACCTGTAGAAGCACTCAGATTGTTGGGGGTGAACTCATGTCACCTCATTTTATTTCCTAATTCTGCTTGGACACGTTATTGTTTTCTACTTAGGACTGTGAGAAGTTATGTATTACATAGAACTCTACCTAAAAAAACACAGAACTTCAAGTTTTTAAAGAAGTTAATAATAACAGTAAATATGTTAATATTAAATGTAATATAAACAGTAAATATGTTAATAATAACAGTAAATATATTATCATCATCTGAAGCTTAGATTACTGGCAAGTCTCATAGTAGAATTGTAAGCTAAGCAAGCAAATCAGATTACTGTCATTGGGAACACCTTAAAGGTACTTTAAACACTTTAAAGTTTGATTACCCAAGAAGGGATAATGAATGATATTGTTTTATATGGTAGAGACAACTGTACAGAGCAATTTAAATACATTAACTTGGCATTGAAAAAATTGTATAGCATCTCTTTCTATCTTTTCTATCTACCCTCTAGAAGGGGTAGTTTTATTTCAAATGCAAGGGCTGTTCTGTGCCCTCCTGCACAGCTGCCTGTTAAAGCTGTCTCCTCCCCCCTTCCCTGCAGAATTTGCATCATTCTGACCCCTCCTGTACCAGAGAGGTTATTTTCTCTCTGAGGGTGTGTACTCAGTGTTTCTGCAGCCTTGGATTAGTGCCTGGAAGTTCAGCCAGCAGCTTGGTGTCCCCCAGGGTGACAGCCGTGCACCTCCCTCCTTGCTCTGGCTGCCCTGGCTTTAGATGGTCTTTCCCCAAGAAAATACACACTTACTGCACAAACTTTCTGGGTGATCAGCATATTATCTATCTTGACTTATGCCAGCAAAATAGAAAGATTAGTTTCATATACAAACATAACTTTAAAGAGAAAGGTTACTCCCACAGCCCTTTCAAACCCAAGGACTGAACTCCCCATCAGGGACCCCTTGGAAAGCACATCCCCCGTAGCAGTCACTGACTCACTGGGGACAGTTCCCTGCTGGCTGCACAGCCACACACGTGTCCTCTCCCTGGTTCTTAAGCAAACCTGACAGGTTTGTAGCCCCTTCTGTGCTCCA